GAAAAGTCGTCCTTACTCTTTAGTCATTTTCACTATATATTATCACTCACTCACTCACTCATTCACTCACTCACTCACTCACACTCACTCACTCGCTCACTCACTCACACTCACTCAATATGATGATGAAATGATGATGACGACAACATGCAAACGAAATGTGATGATGAAGTTTATGATGACGTTGATGTGGATGAGTGCATAGAACACATGGCAAGCACTTAATAAACATTCCTGCTAATGAATGAATGAACAAGTGAATGAATAAACGAATGAATGAGTAAAAAAGGGAATGAGTGAATGGTAGATGAATGAAAGATTGATTGACAAAATAAGTAAGAAAATGAAAGAATAAGTTAGTAAGTGCTTATCACGATGAATCAAATTGTGGTACAGAAGCCATTTAGAAATATTACATGTATGTATGTGCATGCTTTCTTAATGAAAAGTCATAAATAAATAAATTTGAAGAACTTGAAGGAAACATTCGAATGAGCATGGCTCCTGATATCTTTGTAAGTGTATCAATTCAACTCACCCTTTCATATGTTTGCCGTTCTTGTGTGTGTGTTGCGTGTGCGTGTGTGTGTTTGCGTGTGTTGCGTGCATGTGCGCGCGTGAGGCTTTGACAGTAATCAAATAAATTATCATATTATTAACATCATTTGAAAAATAATGTACTAAATTGTTGCTAGCAATATTTAAATATTAAAAATCGCCTAAAAAATAACGAAACATAACAATCAATGTGTGTGGATATGAACACACACACACAAAACACACACAAAACCCAATACACACACACATCACACAACCCACACAACACACACATATATGTATATATAATAAAAAAGTAAAAATACATTAAAACGTTAATAACTTAAATCAGAACAGAATAAAATTTGTCTATAGTTTGTCGTTGATCGGTTGGGAGTTTTTTGTGGCGTAACAAATCTCCGGTGAAATCTGATCAGCCTTTATGAATTAAAAAGTAATAAAATAATTAATTTATCCATATCAATTAGGTTTATATTATCTGGTGCTGTTTGTTGGATTAGTCAGATCTCTCTTGAATATACATCGTTCTGCATATTGTTAATGATGATGATAATGATGATGTTGTTGATGTTGTTGATGATGATGATGATGATGGTGGTGGTTACGTTAGTGATGATGGTATTATATATATGCATCGTATCGATAGAGTTTTTACTCACTCACTCACTCGCTCACTCACTCACTCACTCACTCACTCATTCACTTACTCATTCCCTTACTCATTCACACACTAATTCACTCACATACGTACACTATATATATTATTATTATTATTATTATTAGAGATTTATATAGCACGCTTTAATATTACTCAGAGGTGCTTCTGGAGCTTAGTGGAATTGATGCATTAAAAAATCGTTTTTAGTTCTTTGCGAAATTGTTGAACACAGTCGATCCTGATTGGCGCAGACTGTCCGGCAAACTGTTCCGAACTGTTGGACCTGCGACAGCGTGACCACGAGTGGCAACCAACTTTCCGTGGCTCCGACCGACAGAAAAAATTAATCTTCTGAACGTGTCGGAATACGATGAGCCGTTGTTGTATTGTATGATAAATTTCTAGGCAGATAGTATGGACTCAAGCCGTTTAGGCACTTAAACACCAGAATCGCGATCTTGAACAATAATCTTTTTCTATTGTTAGCCAATGAAGGTCATGCAGGGTATGGCCTACTTGGTCGAACTTCAATCCTCCAGAAATGATTTTTGCCACTCGATTCTGAATAGACTGCGGACGATCAATTAGTCTACCGGACACTCCATAAAAAATACTCTTGCAGTAATCCAATTTTGAATGGACGAATGATTGAACCAAACATTTCAGTGTTTCCTTGTCGAGAAGTTTTAAATACAATATGTATATTCTTATATACACATCTCCTGAAGAAAACAAACTCAAAATCTTAATCAACTTGTGCGTGTGTGTGCGTGTGTGTGTGTGTGTTTGTATCATCATGTACGTGTGGTTAGAAACCAGATGAGTTTGGTGTGACGACGATGATGACAAAACATTTTTTTATAACATTTTGACAACATCACAACACTCTGCATGTAAGCAGAGCAATTAAAACGCTAAAACAAATAAGAAATAAATACCATCAAATCTGAAGGAATACAAACGGATGTGTACAACATGCATGTGTGTATAATATTCAAACATTACACACATACATAAATTTTCACATTAACACAATTAACGATGTACATTCATAAATTTGTACGCTTTTGTGAGTTTGTGTGTTTGTGCGTGTGTCTGTGTACGCGTGTGTGTGTATGTGTGTGTGTATGTGTATACGTGTGTGTTATTGTCGTCAGCTGCAGCTCAAAAAACAAGCATATAAACATCTGCTCTATCTCAAAGGTCCTATCCATATCCAATTCATATCTGCCTATTTCTATATAATTATGTATCTTCTTATGACAATAATTTCGATTGTATGTTTGTTCGCATGAATGTGTTTATATACATGTTTGTTTGTTTGTATGTGTATGTATATGTATATATATGTATATATATATGTATATATACTTACAATACTTACAAATGTTAACATCGGTATGGATAGCATACATATTTATGTATGTATTTGTTTGTATGAATTTGTTTTATTTAACTGTTTGAAAATGTATATTTGGTTTTACTGTATTAGATTTTATATACGTTGATACTTACAAATGTTAACATCGGTATGGATAGCATGTAAAAAACAATACTTCCTTCATTTTCTTCATTTGTGAAAAAAATTTTAAACGAAACGAAACGAAACGAACCTAGAATATTTTTCAAACACAAATAACTGACGGATAAGAAGATTTGTCGTGTGCGCAAACGATCATCTGAACTGCACCAATTGTTGTGAATTGTGCTTCACGCATGTGTTGAACACGCGTGCGTACAACACGTACGTACATGTGCGATCTCGACAAACAATCGTGCTACTTGCGGCCTAAATGAAGATTAGCATACCTCAATTAATAACTTAAATTCTGATCGATTGTTGGAGGGAGATGAATGGATGAGATGATATTTAGATATATGTCGTTGTACGACTAAGTGCATAGTAAGTTGTTGTTGGATGATACGTTGAGTGTCATGTTGAAGTGTCGTTGATGTAGCCTAAGCGGTTGTTTTGTTTGTTGTTGTCGATGTTGATGATGTGGTATGTCAAGTTGTTGTTGTTGTCGTGATAGTATGTCAAGTTTTTGATACTAAATAATTGTCTTCAAGTACCTTCCCTCGTTCAAAAGTATAGATTGCAGGCAAATAGTTATTTATAGAATGAATAAATCGTAACTGAATTTGGATCGACTAACAATTGGAAAAGGCAGTGTTTCTATGACTCTTAATTTTTGTTGAAATTCAGCAATATAAAATTGCAAGGACGTTCAACTGTCGCCATGCCAGCTGTATCATTCTCACTTTGGTTACTTTGATAGCCAACGAATAAATGAAGAAACACCAGCTTAATAACCAAAGGTTAAAAAACTTTACTTGTACAACTTGACCTCCAGATGCGTAGTGCAGAAAATTTTAATAAAAATTTGTTTGAATTTGAAAATTTCATCGAGGAGTTAAAAAAAAAACAAACTTATTAGCAAATAAATAACTACAATCACATGCATATGTGTTAGGATTAGGACACGTTTAAGCTAGATGCCGTAACTATGTATAGTATACATTTCTTGAATTCTCAACAAATTTGTAAGCTTCAATTTGCAACTTAGTTTACAATGATAAGAAAAAAACTAAAGAAATAAATTTGAATTTTTGTGGTGGAGTATTTCAGAGTAAACAGAAATGTCAAATGAAATTGAGTGAGGTTAATAAATTTTGAACATTGCGCGTCTTCTTAATGACTCGTACGTGCGTCATGTCAGCGCAAGTACGCACGGACGTCCGCCACCAAAGTTCTGTTTGCATCCGACATGTTATGCACTGAATACAACTTCAACCGTAATAAGATAGCAAGAGGACATATGACATGGAAGCAACATGCGATTGCATCGGACATGCGTCCAATGACTGGATGACCTCAGATATGAACTTTGACCTTTTCGATGATGATGATAACAGTATCTCAATATGAAGAAAGTGGCTCAGCTAAATGTCAATTAGACACGGTTACGCAATTTGCTTTGAAAACCATTTTGATGATTTGTGTGGTTCGTTTCAACAAATTTAGTGGTGCTCGAGCCTGTGCGTGTGCTCAAATGTGATAAGATGTGATAGACGGTTTGATGAGACTGCGTGTAATAAAACTTTTATATATACGTGCGTTGAAAACAAATTTGTTCATTTTGCTGCTAAAGTAAGCACAATTTAAAGCAATACATTTTTATGGCTCATGCTTTCAATTTCGCGGTTGCTGCATTCTGCATAGCACGCATTTTTTAAAATCGCTTTCTTATTTGCCTAATTTTATTTAAAATTTAAAAGCCTTACAATGGCTACATAAATCGTTTGTAAATACATTACGCAAAATATTATTATAATGCGAATTAAGACAGGAGACACATTGGACACTAACCTTCATCATTGCTGAAGTTGTGCTTCGGCTTTCTACCTTTCCTCCTGAAACTCATATTAAAACAATACGTATTAAAGTTTGAATCTCGTGATTTTTTAAACTGATTAAATTTTTTAACCGATTAATTTTTTTAACCGAACGACAGCTGACTTTTCAAAAGTTAAAAAAGTAAAACAAACAACTTTCTGATTTCTGATCAACTGAGTTGAAGAAATGTGAATTTGATAATTTGAGTTGATTGTGACGTGTGAAGAACGTGACAAATATTTCCTCTTCATCGGAAACACAGCGGTAGGAAACGTGGGGAGGAGCCTGTAGAAATCAATCAAGTCTATGTACCCGCCTACATTGTACGCAAAACCAATCAAGATTAGCGATTACTTCCTAGTCGTAATGAATGAAACAAACGACCAATTAACTATACCGTGATTTCATTTGAAAAAAATTAAATAAACTATAATAATTGTTTATTTAAAATGATCTAAACAAAATTTACTCAATGAATTACGTTATTATACACAATGTAAGGTGTTACAGAATTTTTAAAATTTATATAATAAATCGATGTTTAAAAGTTATTTTTCATATTTATCTCTAGTATTTCTCAAAGCTATCAGCAGCCAGGCACACGGTGTATGCAAATAAACGTGAATTAACGCATCACACGTTGCATGTGACGCCGAACTCTGTCACTGCAACAGCGCTGCCAGGCACCTCAACCATGTGCACAGCCGTGCCGTAAAATCTGACTCTGCTTCAACTTTGGCAAAAATATTTTTCATGCCAATGACGAATGAAATAAAGAAAAATCAATATAATAATTACAAGGCAAAAAAATCTCCTGAATATTTAGGCTGCCTGTAACTGCATCAATATATTGCTAATAAAAAAACATAAAAAATATATATATACAACACATCACTGCATACACTCATTCGTTTAAGCTACAAATGTATACACACGCCACACTCACACTCTCACACACATTTACATTAACAAATATAAGAGTGGATATTAATAAATTAAAAGAGGGAAATGTTGATCAGCACAACGGCGGGAAATCTTCCTCCAGTAATGTGAACTTCCTGCAAATTGGACAAGTTGACTGCTCCTTCACCCAGCGAATGATGCACTGTACAAAGGAAGAGAATTGAAACTCACTAAAATCATTTAGGATCATATTGTTAGTTTTTTCTGAGCAAAATATCTTTATTTAGTCAATAAAATAGGGATGTAAGTTACTTTTTCGTGAAAGCGATGACTGCAGCGTAATTTTAAAACTTTCATATTTTGTAAACTTTCTTGACATATTGTGCAGTCGGTAGTGAATTGCGGCTTAGATGATGAAGGTGGTTTTGTTTGAGATTTCTAGAATAAATCGAAAAAATAAATTTAGTAATTTATTTTTAATCGGGTGGCGAGATGGTTTAGCAAATTGCAATGATTGGGTTAAAATGCAAGAGACCACCAATTATCACATAATGGGTAGATTTGCAGCATGTAAACGAACTGCGTAAATTTGTAAAGTCGAGTCCAGCAAGGGCGTAGGTAGCTTCCAGGTAGAAAGTCTTGGATGTCTTGCAAAATAAAATAGTGCTGCAGTGTTGCAGATTGGTGAGATGAACAAATGGAAGAATGACCAGCAGATTCTGGACATTATTTCCTTTCTTTGAAATCATGTCCCAATCATTTACTGCGACATACATGTGCAAATGTAAATCAATTCCATATCAACCAGCATGATGAATTGAATGTTTTGGAAACAAATGCTAAAAATCTGAAAAGCTGATAAGCTATTAATTCTGCAAGAGAAAGGATGTATCAAGTTTTCCAAACACAATCAAGTTAGCAAACATTCCTGGCAACAGACAAGCAAAGAAACACATCAAATAAAATCTCCAAGCAAACATTTTATACACTACTAATAAATGCATACATAGTTGCAAGCAGTATAAAATATTTTGTCTTCAATTAAAGCCTGAGATGCATGATTTGAAAATATGCAAGAGGCTTGCACTTAGTTTTTAGGAAATTTTTGGCACCTGTCTGCACACAATCCTTTTCTATAACCTCACAATGATAGAATGAAAATAAAATTTTAATAACAAACATTAGACTATGAATAAAAAATAAATTGGCTGAGTCCATAATAATTATCCCAACCTGGAAAGCAACTTCCAAAAGATTTTGGAATTTATTCAATCCATCGATTGCTAGAAATTATCTTAAAATCATACAAAACCATTTCTGCAGCAGTCAGTAGCACTTGGACCTATTCCAAACCCACTGAAGATTAGTATACAACTTGGTATTGAAATAAGTCAAAACACTTGGACACAAGGTAACCAAAAAATTTTGCATTCTTTAATAAGACAATGCAGAAAGTAGCATGATGACACTTCGTTGTCTGGAGTGAATTGCCACCAAAATGTCTACAAATCTTGAGAAAACAACTACAAATAAATGTTAAATTGTAGAAGTTTAGATGCAATTCTAGAACTTCCTAGTTGAAAACTAAAAATATGCATGATGTTTTTCCAAGTGCAAATTTTTTAAATGTTCAATCCTCAATATGTCAACTTTGTTCATTGAAGTTCTGTTCATATAATTAAGAAGTAGACAGACAAAATGATGAACATTCTACATAACTGCATGGAAAACTCTGTCTAATTCCTAATTTCCTTGAATGAACAAATATGTGTGTACAGTATATCAATATTAAAACACCTTGGATTCTTTGGTGCTTTGATCAGAGCAGATGGCATCTATGATGTGGCACATGACTTGCTGAAGGGAATCATTTGAAAAGTTAAAATCGGTTGAATGTTGAGCTGCTTCAATATAATTAACCAACTCCGATCTAAAAATTTTGTTAAAATAATAAAAATTAAAACTAATCATATTAAATTATTAACTTTTTAAAAAAAACAAAAAACGAAAAAAGACAAAAGTGTCCTTGTTTTAAAAACAAAAAAAAACCCCATAAAAAACACAAATTGATCCTATTTAATTTAATAATTAAAAATTAATTATTATTTATTATTATTCAATTAATATTAATTTAATTAAATTATTAAATTAATTGAATGGTGAGTGGGAAAGGTGGGGAGCGAGTTATAAGTAAAATAGACCCCTGCGGGTTATGTGACAGGAGAGTGAGGGCTAACTCGGTATTGTGTATAGGATGTCAGAAGTGGGTGCATAAGAGATGTAATGGTGTGAGGGGGGCACTGAAAAAGGTGAAAGGCATGTTCAAATGTAAGAAATGTATTCATGGTATGATTAATAGGACGGAATCAAGGACGGGGTTGAGTGGTGGTATTGAAAGAGTGGAAAGCTTGGTTTATTTAGGGGTTAAGCTGAACGCGGATGGAGGATGTTTGAGTGCTGTTACGGAAAGATTTCATGTGGGATGGAGGAAATTTAGAGAACTGGGTGGGGTATTGTGTGGAAAGAAATGGTAAGTGAAGATGGAAGGGAGGGTATATAAAGCATGTGTGAAAACAGCGATAGTATATGGTGGTGAAACTTGGGTTTTGAGGAGAGAGGAAGAAAGTGTACTGCAGAGGGCTGAAAGAGCTATGGTGAAGATGGTGTGTGGGGTTAAAGTGAAGGATAGGAGGAGTAGTACAAGGATTAGGCGAGCGTTGGAGTTCGAGGTTAAAGGAGTGATAGGAAGGGGTCATCCGCAATTGGGATAAAGAGAGCAGGTAGAGAAGGACAGAGTGGAAACGGGGTTGCGTGATACTGAGGCGAGTGACAGATGTGAATGGCATTGAGGAGTATTTCGGTTTCATCATAGGTAGTCAAACGGCAACCCCAATATCTGGAAAAATGTCGTCTAAATGCGTGTTGTTGTTGATTTAAATTAATGGAATAATTTAATAATAATGTCTCATATGAAAAAATAAATGTGTTAAAATGAAAAACATAGAATTAAAAAAAGTCACTGATATAGAAATATAGTTTAAAAAAAGGAAGCCAATGAAATGATGATGTTGATTGTGTTGTAGAACATGCAGATGGTAATGTTTGGTATGTTACTATGTATGTACGGCACACACACACGCACACGCACACACACGCACAGACACACCTGGAAAGATTTACGAATATTTCAGTCAGATCTTTTAATACTTTATCAAACTTTAGTTTCATAAGAAGTGACGTCCCGTCCTCTTTTTTCACAAACTCGTTCCCACCCCAATTGACTTTTGATGGATTCATCACGAGATCGTATCGTCCGATCCAATTATTTTAAATATTCACCTTTGTTCACTTTTCGTTTGTTTATTTGTTTGCCAGATTAGTCAGATGTTACATGAAGATGTTATAATTTATTAGCGTTGGTACAAAAAAGAACATATCTATCGATCGATCGCAATCAATCAATCAATCAATCAATCAATCAATCAATCAATCAATCAATCAATCAATCAATCAATCAATCAATCAATCAATCAATCAATCAATCAATCAATCAATCAATCAATCAATCAATCAATCAATCAATCAATCAATCAATCAATCAATCAATCAATCAATCAATCAATCAATCAATCAATCAATCAATCAATCAATCAATCAATCAATCAATCAATCAATCAATCAATCAATCAATCAATCAATCAATCAATCAATCAATCAATCAATCAATCAATCAATCAATCAATCAATCAATCAATCAATCAATCAATCAATCAATCAATCAATCAATCAATCAATCAATCAATCAATCAATCAATCAATCAATCAATCAATCAATCAATCAATCAATCAATCAATCAATCAATCAATCAATCAATCAATCAATCAATCTATCAATCAATCAATCAATCAATCAATCAAATCAATCAAATCAATCAATCAATCAATCAATTAGCTTATAAAGCGCTATTTCCGCGATGTTCAACAGCGCTCCTCAATGAATTTTGAAAACAGATGGGTCTTGAGATCCGCTCTTAACTCGGAGTGATGGAGAAGTAGTCAGAGAAGTAGGTAGAGAGTTCCAGAGAAAAGGACCAGAAAAAGCAAAAGCAGAATTGGCAAAAGAGTGTTTAACACGAGTTAAGAAAAAGCGAGAAGAAAAAGACGATCGTAAACCGTGGCGTTTAGGTTCAATTAATATATCTGATAAATATAATAATAATAATAATAATATGATAATCAATCAATCAATCAATCAACTAACCAACCAATCGATCAGGCAATTGATCGACCAATCAGTCAGTCAATCAATAAATCGTCTAACCTACCAATCAATCAATCATCCAGTCAATGAGTCAATGGTTTTCTAATTTTTATCTGAAAAAACCTTTTGAAGCGAGTAGTGTGAGACTGACAGTCTTTGTTGTCGATTTCTATCTCTTATCATTTCTATCATCTGATTTTTTACATTTCTTTAAATGATGCTAACATTGCTTGCTCAGAATGCACAATAATAATTTTCACTTTTTTTGGGTAATTTTTGTCCCTGGTAATAAAACCACTAAAGTATTATAACCACTGATCTCTATATCATTGACTTGAACTGATTAATTTGTTCAAGTTTTTCTGATTCTTTCAATTCCCTCCCAAAATCATCACTCCTGCTTTGATTTTGCAATTCTGTCACACAAACATAAATTCCACTAATCAAAACTATTTCTGTTGACAAATCTTAATTATTCAATTAATGTATATAAATATATATATATATTATATAATATATAATTAAATATAATGCTTGATGCATATAATGCATGCTTATAATTATGCTTCTGAATATGCTTCATTTTCTAGACTTTCTACATGTATTTATTCTTTGTATTCGCACTGCAGTCTTAGGTAGTTTTTGTATTTGATCGGGGCAAAAGAGAGACGAGGTCTCCAATAAAATGTAAATTCTTTTGTTAATGGCGTTTATTTAATAATAACTAACTCTAACTAAAGTTAGTAACCGTAACCTTCGTAGGTGAGCAAATAGTTTGTGCTTTCTAAGAAAATTTAAAGAAACAAATTATTCATCCTGTTTTGTGTTTTGAATATCATCACATTCTACCAAAGTCCAATTGCAATCCAAAAGTAATCCACCAACTAACAACTACAACAATACAGAATAGCAATCTATTTATTTCATTTTTTACTTTTTATTTTAATTTAATATATTTAAATTAAATCTTCATTTCTTTCTATTCTTTTCAGTTTTCTACATTTTAAATTTGACACATCATCCTCAAGATTTTTTTAATCAGTCAATGGATGCTTGTTAATTTTAAATTTCAAGTTAGTTAGAGAGATATAATAAAAATGTTACAATATTATATTTTGAATTTTGACAGGATTGAAAAATACTACTAAGTTAAAAATTAAAAAGGAAGTTAAGCTTAAGTTCAGACTGGCTTTTTTGTTTTCTACCTCCAGTCAAAATAATAGAATAGGATGGATACTAGACTAGATAGATTAGTCATTAGATAGGTCATGGAAAAGCTAGCATTTTAAGCTTGTTAAAAGTGTGTAGTTATTTATTTCATTTAATTTAAATTTTAAATGTGAGGAATTGCTTTAAATAATGCATAATAATTGTTCATGTATTTAATTCATATTTTGTATGAGACAAAATTACAGAAAAAGTGGAGTGGTTGTATCAATTCATGAGCATTTATAATTTATATTAATAGTTTTTGGTTTGATCTGTAAATTAAATTAAATAAATGTAATTATTTGTTAAACCTACTAGATTACTATATTACAGCTTAAATGTATTGCTCATATAAACAAATAAACCCATTGGAATTTTATTTTTTAAAAGTAAATTATTTCAACTACATTATTTATTATTATTATATATTATTTTTGCTCTTTATATTAATTTTTATTACCTTTATATCAATTAATATTAACATTTGTTACTTAAATTTTTATTTATTTTTGTGTTTTTTATAATTTCTTTCAGTCTATATTTAATTAAACTTATTTTAATAAGATTACTGATTAGTCATTAAAATTCCTAAAAGTAATGTGAATTTAATAGTTTACTTTACTTAGATCTGAAGTTGAAATGATTCAAAATTTCAATACTTAAATGTGTTTCTATCGTGATATGATACACTGATGTACACAATAATGTGCTCTTGCTTGTGATTGACACAATTTTTTTGAATAATTAAACAGAAACCCATCATGTGTCTTTAACATGAGACAACTACTAAACTACCTGATTAACATAACACATGCTAAAGACAATTAGAAATTTATAGTTAAAAAATAATTTAGTAATGTTGATCTTAATATAACTTATTAAACAAGAAAAATAATTTTAATTTATAGATAGATGAAATGGAAGCAACGGCAAAGAATGCTGTTCACTTCAATGTTACACAAACCTACAGTCCTAATATAAACTTCAGCACTACATTCTCCAGCACTGGTTGTCTCAATGTTTCAACAAGTAGCACCCTCTATTCCAATGTTATAACTACCAGCTGGAATTTGACCAATGTTACTGAGGTTGGGAATCACGTTTGTTTGAAAGTTCTGTACTGGACTTTGCCCAATTCACAGTTGGTTCACATAAACTATCTCAAAAATTGTTTGTACAATATCCTGTCAATGGCCTCTTTTAAAATTATACAGATGAATATGTTAATAAATATTTTTTGTCAACTAGAAACTGGTTTATTTTCACAAATAGTTGTTTAAGAATAGCGATGTTGAATGAATTTTACAATTTTTTACGTAAGTTGTTATTTGATGAATTATAAAAACCAGTGTAAGGTTGTGGGACCTGTTGATTCTCATTCCAAACGTCTTCTTCATGGCTTACCTGCTCTTCAACATCTCCGTGCTACTTCCACTTCTAAGAAGATCCAACAGACAGATATTCACTGTCCTCTTCTTCCTTGTTAGTATCATAGTATGCATCCACCACTACTTCTTTCTTAACATTCATAGTAGAGCTCCATCTTGCTAGCAATTATTTCAATTGTTAATTCAACCCTGCCATCACCAGCAACCTGTACTGACTACTGTACACAACTTGTATAATCTATTGAGCTATTATTGCCAACTTATACTGACTTTAGTTTTTCTCTACTATTGTACTCTGTTGTACTGCTACAAACATAGGCCAAACATTCCTTCTTGATTGACGTCATTAACTTCTACTGTTTTTTTAAAAATTTATTCATCTATCAGGTTAGATAGGCTGTTTACCTTAGTAATTATTTACTTAGTAATTATTAACTCAAGATTATTTATTTGTAGCACCTGGGTGATTGTGTAATCATGAGATAGGAGTTAAAATACTTTTCATGATTAACTTTGTTGAACGTGGCGTCCTTTATTACCTATGTACATTAAAAAAGTTATTTGTAGTTCTGTTGAAGTTGTCATTCCTTACTATTATTAAGTTATTTGTATTTATTTGTAGTTAAGTGGCTGTTGAACGTTGCAAACAATGATTTGCAGGTCTTCGTATCGCATATACTCAGCATAACTCGTTGCGTCATCTCCATGTCAGTCCACAGTTCAACTTATGACGTCATTGATAGAGTGGGTCTCTCTGTTTGTCGTCATGCTTCATTATTTTTACGTCATTTTTCCACTCACGTCAACCAAATTTCAATCCAACCTCCATCACACCCTCCATTCATGACCACCTCCTATAATTAAAATAACTTAGCATAGCACTACATTTCGTTGCCAACAATTTATTGAAGCCAAACTTCCATACCAAATTATTTTAAGTCTAATTTAATAATAAAAAGGTTAAAGGTTACTCTCTCTCTCTCTTTTGCGCTTGCTTCAGAGGTTTCAACGACAAACACACACAGCGTATATGAATACGCGTGAAAACCACACATCATGCACATTCATATGATAGGCGGGGATCTTTTTGTATTTGAACATAGTCACTGCAGCAGCAAGACCAGGCGCCTTTAACCATTGAGCCATTAAATAATAAGTAATTAAAATGATGAATAAATGTGAATAAAGTATGATAAATAAATTTTAAACCTTGAGCTATAAAATAATTCAATGATTAATTTGTACAACTATTGTAACGAAATTTGTCAAATGAAGAATTTTGTTGTCAATATTCAGCAATCCAATAACGTTATTTTTATTCATATTATTTTGAGTAATGATACCTGTTTTCAATTTTAGTAATGCACTTTTACAATAGTTAATTCTAGAATTTCAATCAATTTTTATACAGTATTTGATTATTTTAAATAAATTCAAAATCCGTCTGGTTTGTTTCAGATTATTTTTTTTCTTGTCCTTTCAACTGCAAATGAATGAATGAAGGTATTTAAATGAAACCAAAATTGAACCACCAGGCAATGTGGCTGATAATGAGGTTCTTCCTGCTGGCTACAGAACTTTCTGTTGTTACGTTTGGTTTCTTCTTCGGTTGGTCCTTCCCTTCCCTTGTGTGTATGATCGTTGTAATTGTTCCATGTATGTGATGTTAATATGTGGAAGGAAATCTGATACAATATCACACATTAATAACACTCAACTAGTAGGATATTTATAGACTGTTTAGTGACTCTTGCTATATGCTCTTCAATTCACCAGCTCATTGTTTCAGTAATTGTAATTTCCTTCCAAGTTAATTCAAATTTTAGAACTTATGTACATTTTCTTAGTTCTTATTTTTGGAGCTTTTGTCGGTGGCTACTTTGATAAAATTAATGCTGATTCAACCAGCCAATTTAATCCATTCAATCTTTTTTGCACAACACATGGCCGAAGTTACGTTCTATCAATAACGTGAATAATAATAATTATATAAAATGATAATAATAATAAAAATGATAGTAATATAAGATTACTAATAATAATATAATAATAATAACAATAATATAAATTATGTCTGTTTTAGTGTTTGCATCTTTTTCTTCATTTTTAGTTTTTTCTTATTGAAATCTCATTTTAAGCAAATTAGCATCTCTTAATTTGGGTTCCTGGTTCTCTACTTAACATCACACTGCCCTTCTAATATTTATGCAGTTTTTGTCAATCACAACATTCACATGACTTTTGCCATTGTAATGATGATGATGTCTTTAATGATGATGTCGATGATTTTCATTTTGCTGTCTAAGTTTATGATGATGATGGTATG